TATAACACACACACACACACATATATATATATATATATATATATATATATATATATATATATATAACTTAATTATTTTAGAAACATTTTTCTGGTATAAAACATTTAAAAAGTGTAGCTTACCTCATTTTAACAGAGGCACATCCAAAATAATCATTACTAATTATCTCATTTTAAACAAGAGTTTGTTAAATAAAATTTTAAATAAATTATTTGTCCAAAACCAACTCTTAAGTATATTAAAATCTTAAATTTTTTAAAAATATTTTTAAAATATCAGAAAAGTGAGATCCGACCCTAATTGTAATAAAATTAATAATAATAATAATTATTATTATTAATTTTATTATTATAATTATTATTATTACGCTCAATTATAAATTGGACTTTATTTACGCTAAGTAAGTAACTGATAGATATATACTCCACACATGCTTAATTAGAATGATTTATCCGATCCGGTGGTATAATAACAGTAATAAATAATAATGCAATACTGTTCAATTTACATACGCAACCATCTTATAACAATTGCTTTGACAATTTGATACGACTACAGTTCTATTTTATTTTATTTTTTTGTGTGTGAAAACGAATGAATTATCACCATCGAATAGAAAAAACGACTGAATTATTCTATAAATAATAATAAATAAATAAATTTGTCTGCAGTGAGCAAGTCAAGAAGTTGTCATGCGGACAAAATTAAGAATAACAGCATATAATAATAATATAAACCAAGAAGGATAAAATGTCTACCACAAATACGTATGAGATAATGGAGATAAAGTTATTGTAAGAGTAACTATTTGGTAAAGTTGTTTACTCTTTGCAATAATTCATACCCATTTTTTACATTATCTTATTGATCCTGCACATCAAATTTTAAATAAAACAAATATTTATAATAGTGTAATTTTTAATCAATATATATATATATATTATGTTAAATTAAATTTAAAAAAATTATATCCAGTCAATAATTTTTTTTATAATTCACATAATTATTATTGAAGAAAAGTAGTAATATTTGCTACTTTAAAAAGATTTTCTTAAAGTTATCCGATCCCTACTACATTTGATTTTTGGTATATAAGTACACAAACGTTGACCACTATGCAATGTGATATCCATTCTAGCTAAGAGTAGACTCTTCTATATTACATCAACCACGCACTTTTTTCTCCATCCACACAACCAAATCCTCAAAGCTTGATTCCAAGTCCTCTAATCTTTTCTCTGAAAAATCAAAATCTGTTCAACCCTTTTTATCCTTAGATTTTCTCTTCCCCTTACTAATCAAACTTTTTGTGATCTACATCTACCACATCCACAAATGCTTTTCTCAAAGAATGGCCATAGATTCTTCAAATTCAGAACCCCAGTTTCATGCCCTTGTCTTTTATATGGTCTTTTCATTTTCTGAAATACCTTTCACCCTTGTCAAACTCTCTTCATCCACAAGTATCTTCAACCAAACCTCTCATTAGCCTTTTGGCTCAATACTCACAATCTTTGGTGTGACCTTATTATTGAGGGACAACACCCCATCATTATTCTTTCTTTAATCCATACCGCACAGTTTCCTTTGTCTCACTCAAAAATATCTCAAAAGAGTGGCACCTCTTCCTATTATTGCCACTCCTATAATTCTTATTTTAAGTTCTTCATATCCTAAGATTGTTGGTAGTAGTTAACACCAATGGTTTACAAGCATTTCTACGAGCTTTCATGTGGTGTTGTTGAAATGGCTTGGATTATGCTTAGTGTTGACTACTCTAGGCTCTTATGGCAATTGTTTGGTGTGTTTTCTTACGAGAACCATGAATGGAAGCCTCGGATCATCTAGCACACACCTTCAGTTAGTCACGCAATTACATATAATATTTAATTTGTTGCTAAATTTTCATTACTAGTAGCTGTAAAGTCAGAATTTTCAATACTAGAGCCATGTACAAGGGGAGATTAGGAGGCAAAGCTCAGCTTGGATATGTTGAAACTGACCCATCTGGTCGATATGGACGTGTAAGTGTTTCTCATTCACTTTAACTTCATCTTCATGTTTTGTGAATGGATCTTGGTTAACTTTCTGACTAATTGGTCTAGTGCTAATGTTCACAATATGGTGATTAAGTTGGAGGGGTATATGAATTGATTGATGAAGATGCTATTTTGTTTTAAACTTGAATTTAATTTGAGTATATGTTCGTGTTTGACTTTGAAGTTATGAGCACCAAGTTAAGTCTTGAAATTATAAAACAGAAATTGTAGTCATTACAATTGGTAATTGTTGGGCATTTTAATCTCCTACTTTAGTGTACAACTGTGCATCACTCAATCTGGCTCTGACTTCAAAAATCAAATTAACTGATAGTTGTCAAATACTTGGATCGAATTAACGATAGTTGTCAAATTTATGAATCAAATTAACGCTAATTGTTAAGTTTAGGGATTTGTGTAATGTTAGGGATCAAATTGGTCAATGATACTAATTTTAAAAATTAGATTGATTATCAAGTCAGAGACTAATTTTGCCCTTTTAGTAACAGAAATTAAATTGACAATTCATACTAATTTCAAGGAACTAAATTAATGTATTACTCGGTTTAATTTAATTTCTAGAAAATTATAGTCTGCCCATGAAAATTGGTTTTACTCTCTATCTACTTTTTTAATTGGCCAATTATTTGGAATTAAGTAATGTTTAGCCTTTTTTCTGGTTTAAAAAAAAGTTTTTTTTTCTTAGAAAAGGGAACAATTTTTTAATTATTAATTTTTCAGTTGCCGTCTTATGATTAAGTCAATTTATTATAAAGAAATTAATTAAGAACAGTATGTTCTGTTTTGTCCTTTACCAAGTCTTGGGTTTATTGTCGTGACTCACCACCTTACCCATTATTATTAACTCCCTAGTACACCCAAGGGCCATTTTTTTAAGAGCCAAATTAAATGGTCAAAACTATGTTACATCCACAGTTAAGTTTGACTACTAATGCAAACTGGTGGCATATGTGTATTAATCTGAGTATTATTTTTATGGCAAACTAACCTAGTTGCCTAGTTGGTGTTAAAATTAAGTTATTGATTAATTAATCTTAATTATTGTGATTATTGGTGGGTGTAGTTCAGGGACATTCTAGGCAAAGGAGCAGTGAAGGTAGTGTATAGGGCATTTGATGAGGTGCTAGGAATAGAGGTGGCTTGGAACCAAGTGATGCTTGGTGATGTCTTTCATTCACCAGAACTACTTCCACGCCTTTACTCAGAGGTTCATCTCCTCAAGAACTTGGAACATCACTCCATCATGACCTTCCATGATTCTTGGATTGATGTCAAATGTAGAAGCTTCAACTTCATCACCGAATTGTTCACCTCTGGCACCTTACGAGAGTAATATAATCAATCATATCTTATTACCCCCTTTAACTTTAACACAAATGATAATAAAACTCTTTCTAACATTTTCTCTATTATTAATTGAAATTTATTAGAAATTGGTGAATCTCGCCACTATATCAAGAAAGACTCATTAATTAAGAGGTAAAATCCATCATAAATTATGTTTTTCAATAAATTTCAATCAACAATATAAAAAGTATTAGAAAAAGAGTATTGTAGGAAATGTCGCTAGCATTTCTTCGAATTTTTACATGAATATGGTGCCTGTAGATACTATCAATCAAAAGTTAAAGATAATATTAAACTAACTTCAACAATCAACATAAACTTTATTTTAAAGACAAAACTTATATCCGGTTTCTTTAATATCTTGTTTTGCAGTTTTCTAATTAGAATTGAAATTTTATTTAAGTAACACAACGCTGATTCTAATTAGAAAACACAGCTAAATATATCTACGAACTGAATTTAAGTTTGTCCTTATTTTAATTCTAATTCTTGGATCCAAATTATGTAAATTACTCTTAAAAAATCATTCTTTTTAATGTTACATAGGTTATTTATTTTGTGGTAACATTAAGTACATGAATAATATGTGATATGTAGGTATAGAAAGAAGTACCAGAGAATAGATATCAGAGCAGTAAAAAACTGGGCACGCCAGATTCTAAGTGGTTTGGAGTATTTGCACAGTCATGATCCTCCTGTGATACATAGAGACCTCAAGTGCGACAATATCTTCATCAATGGCCATTTAGGACAGGTCAAGATTGGTGACTTGGGCCTTGCAGCCATTCTTCGTGGCTCCCAACATGCACACAGTGTCATAGGCAATTCCTCTTGCTCTTTTAGTTGGTACTTTAATAATCAGTTATTAGTAATCTAAGACAAACCCATGTGTCCAACAAAAGTGAAATGTTTTACTTGGTTGAGTCTTCAGGTACTCCAGAATTCATGGCACCAGAATTGTATGAAGAGGAATACAATGAGCTGGTAGACATATATTCCTTTGGGATGTGTATGATAGAAATTTTCACTTCTGAGTTCCCATACAGCGAGTGCTCCAACCCTGCTCAGATATACAAGAAAGTTACTTCGGTAAGTTTTATGAATTGGACAGACTTAAACCTTTTTTTTTTTGCTTACCATGTTAGGATCAGATTGCATTTCCTTTCACACAGGTTGGGATCAACTTTTACAAAAATGATTTTGCAATATTAATTTTAGTTAACAGTTTCAAGTGGTTAATTTATGTTAAAAAAATTTATCTTAAAAGTACATTTGTAAGAAGATTTAATAGCTCCAAGCAAAAGTTATGTCCTTTCACTATTAATCTAACTTGTGCTTCAGCAAAATAAAACAACAAAAGCCTTATCCAATTAGTTCAGGTTGGTTACAAAGATCATACAAAGTGATTCAATTCAGTTAAAGACTAATTAATAAGAGTTTGTTCGAATTTAAGATTTTTATTTTATCTTTAACATTAGATGTTTAGTGATTACTCGTAAATTTGGTTAAAAATTGTTTAAGACAGAAAAAGTAAGCTTTAACTTCAGGTAAATAATGCTTACTTATTATCTTAGTCATAAAAACTTGTTTTTTGTAACACTTTCAATGTATGTAAAACTCAATTCATAATCCAAATATATCACATCAATTTTTGTTCTCATTTATATCTTTTAGTTGTTGGTTTCTTTCTGAAGTTTTGTTATAGAGCTTCCAGTGCAGGAAACTAACATTTAAGAGTCCATTTTTTTTATGTTATGTTTTCTAACATACTGTATGCTCAGAAGCAAAATAATCAAATATATACAAGAAATTCATTTACATATTTGATTGATATGATTCAACAGGGGAAGCTGCCAGATGCCTTTTACAGAATCCAAGACTTGGAAGCCCAGAGATTTGTGGGAAAATGTTTGGCAAATGTCTCAGAGAGGTTGCCAGCAAAGGAGCTCTTGTTGGACCCATTTTTAGCCACGGACCAACTAGTCTCGCCACTTCCTAGCCCAACATTGCCCAAAAAACAAACTCACACACTCAATTTCACTACACCACTTGCCAAAGAGCTACCTTCAATGAGTGACCACCAAACAAAGGACACACACATGACAATCACTGGATCAATCAATGAAGAGGATGACACAGTTTTCCTTAAAGTTCAGATTTCTAACAAAAACGGTATGCACATATAGTCTCATCACATGATACAATCATTTTGTGTTGCATAAAGTGGGGGGGTTGCTTCAAAGTTTTATTTTGCATGCAGGGCAAAAGAGAAACATATTCTTTCCATTTGACACCATAAACGACACTGCCATTGATGTGGCGGTGGAGATGGTTAAAGAACTGGAAATTAGTGACTTGGAACCATTGGAGATTGCTGAAATGATAGAGGAAGAGATATCAGCTTTAGTCCCAACATGGAAGGATTGGGGCACTTCTAAGTATCAAAAACAACATAGTTTTAGCTATGAAGAAGAGTATGATATGAGTAACCACCACTCTTTCTTCTCACCATCTTCACGCTCTTCCTCTTATGGTTCTCTTCCGGTGTTTGGTTCTTCCTACAACAATAATAATTCCTTCTCACCATCTTCACTCTCTTCCTCTTATGGTTCTCTTCCGGTGTTTGGTTCTTCCTACAACAATAATAATTCCCACCTTCGTGGGAACCATTACCCTTTTGCTCAAGAGTGGCCTCAAGGTACTCCTCTTCTTTCAACTTGCAATGTAAGTAACTTTTCAACTTTAATTCTTTGAAAGTTGAAATGTTGTTTAGGGTCTGTTTGGTAAATTTCTTCAAAACACTTTTAGAAGAAAAAAATAGGAAGAATTAAGTTTTTTATAAACTAAAATTAATTTATACGAAAATTAAAATTAAGATTTTAAAAAAATTAATAGAAGAAAATTTTTACAAATTAACTTATTTAATAAATATAAGTTTATGAAGAAATTTATTTCATATCTTTTTTCTATTTTTCTCTCCTAAAAAGAATTTGGAGAAAGTTTACTCAAATAGACTTTTGAAAAGTTTATCTTATAAAAAGAGAGTAAAAACATCAATTTGATTCTTGAAATTGAAATCAACAATGATTGATTAATGGGGGTAATTTCAACAAGTTGATGGTTTACTCTTAAGAAAAGCTACTACTATTACTTTCAATGCAGTTACAAAAAATAGATTTCAACATCACCATTAAACTATTTTGCAGATGATCTATTTATGAACGATGATGCAAGCTCTCAAAGCTCAATGAACTCCTTCAAGTGTTTCGATTTCAACTGCTGTGACCCGGGAAATGAAGATGAGCATGGTCCAACTCTAGTGGTGGGAGCAAAACCCTTTTGCTACACCCCAAAAGGCAACGAAAAGTGCACAAGGTTCTGTCCTCGAGAAGAAGTGATGGATGTTGATTTCACCAAACAATTTTGCAACATGAGAATGGACTCTCACAGGTGTCATGGAATCCACAAGCTAACTAGGATTCGTTCCTTTGTGGATTTGAGGAGACAACAACTGCAACGGTCACTGATGGAAGAGATACACAAGAGGAGGATGTTCAAGACGGTTGGTGCCATTGAGAATATTGGGTTTCAGAATCCAGAAGGAGGTGGATGTTTTTCTTATTGAAGCTCCACGGATTCCAATGCTCTTTTTCTTTCCTAGTTTGGGGTGTTTATGAATTACAATGTCCTTGAGTATTTATAAACCATACGGATACATCCGAATATTGTACAGTATTTTTTCTTTTATTCATATGAATCGAACTTGGTACCAAGAGATTTACATGTACAACAGTTATGTATCTTGCTTAACCAACTGAGTTATATCCGTTGGTTATTGCAAAATATTGTGAAATAAACTAAAGCTTGTAATATATTTTACTATGTGCTTGTATTAGGAGATGTTTGCTTGCTTGTAAGACCCATTTGTGTGATCTGTGTCTTTGCATTTTGAAATATGAATGTCTCGAGTTCGGATTGTGTTTAATAAACCTCGAAAATTTTGATGATTATCCAAATCATTATAAGCTCCAATTTTGTCATATTTATAGTCCAGGTTGGATTTCAACAGAATGCATAGGATGCTGTACTATTGAAACTAAGAAGGATTAAACTATATGTTTGAAGATAAACTAGACTAGATGCACATGAAGTAGGTTGGATAGCACTATAAGCTATTATTCTTTTGCACCCTCCCTCAATTTGCTGTCTTTGAAGGACACAAAGATTGGTTCCGAGTTTCATGAATTTCTGAGGAGTGAATGTGTTAAGAAATTAGCAAAAGCATGTTGGTAGTAGTGTGCTGAATAATGACCTGATCCGGAACCACAAATTCTTTTTGAACATGCAACTCTATGTCAATGTGCTTGATCAAGTAATGAATTTAGTATTTTGATTATCACAAAAGAAAAGATTTGGTCAAGTACAAGGTAAATATAGCTGATGGAGAAGACAAAAGAAAAGATTTGGTCAAGTAATAAATGTGCTTAAAAATTTGAATTATTTTTTAAGTAATTAGTCTAGATTTAATTAAATTATCATAAATCAAATTTCTTGTGTATTTATTTTCATCTTTCATATGATATTTAAATTTTAAATTCTTAAAGATTGAAGGCAGTTCATTATTTCTTTTCCTTATTTTTACACATTAATATTTACATCTAAATTGATTAAGATAAAGAAATGAATATAAATAAAATATAACACAAATGAATTTTTTTCACAAAACACATCATATTATTAATTACTAAAAAAAATTATATATCATTATGATTTTAGTATTTTTCACTTCTATTAGTCTATATATATATATATAAATAACTACCGGTAGGGCTGAATATCACTGATCGTTGTTTGCAAAACTAATCATTGTACAATTTGATGACAGCAAAAAAAATATATATATATATATATATATATAAATACATAGTCATGAAATATGATATTGCTTTATTCACCTAATTTAAATATATCCATGTGAGATAAATCATTGATTTAATTATCTTTCCAATATCATACAATAAAATACAAATTAAAATTTTAAAAAAATAAATCTATTATTTATTAATATCATACCTATTTAACTCTGTACAAACTATAAAATCTAGTTCAACTTAAAACAAATGTGGCTGGTTCTCTCAAAGTGTTGCACTTGCACATGCAAGGGTTGCCCTTGGACTTAATGAGGCCCATGAAGTTATGAAGTTAAAGAGACATTGGATCTTAAAGGCTGGGCTTCTAAATTTGACAGATGGAAAAGAGAAGGCGAATGATATACACACCTTTATTTCTTTATAAATACACTCCTCCTTTTTTTTTAATATTAAATTCCTAAATTACCTTCAATATTTTTTAACTTATAATTTTCTGGGTTTACACTTCCCTTCTCATCATTCTTCTTTCTTCTTTGTGCACCTCATTTCTTCTTTTTTGCTTTTTTCTCCACACCTCCTTACCTTCCCTTCTTTCCTTTTCAATTTCAGCATTATCCTCTTCCCTTTTTGATTTTGTTATAAGTTGTAAGTAGGTTCAGTGTCAAAGGAAAAGGTGTTAAACCATATACATTTTTTCCTCCAAGTAATTTTTCTCACTATTTATTCCGGAAAGTGCTTTCCGGAATAATAAAGCTTTTGTTTAGAAAAGTACATTTAAGAATAGTAAATTTTTTATTCTGGAAAGTATTTTCGGAAGTGTGCTTGTTACATACTTCCAGAAAATATTTTCCGGAATACTAGATTTAATGTTCCGGAAAGAACTTTCCGGAATTATATAAGAAACACACTTTCTAAAAATGCTTTCTAGGACAATAATTTTACTATTTCAGAAAATACTTTTCAAAATATTAAAGTTAACGTTTCAATCAATATAAATCATATTATATTTAGTTAGAAGGATATTTTTGTTCCGGCCACGAGGTGCACTAGGGTTTTTGCCTAGGTCAAGCCTTAAAGCCAGAGCATTCAAAAGTGTAATCTGTCGTCCTAGCCCTAGGGTTTTGGGTTTTATACTTTTGTGTTATGGGCTTCGTGGGCCCCGCGATTATCGGGATCCCCCTTAATCGTTCTTATCTCGAAGCCCTGGGGGTGAGTGGTGGTTAGTCAAGTCGGGATTTTACCGGGAGGGTACACTTGCCTTCCAGCCCTGAGCCGATAAGGCGAGAGGGCTTGTGGCCTGGAAGACCAGTCGAATATTAGACGAGTGGGGGGTCTAGTCAGAATTTTACCGGGAAGGTACACTTGCCTTCTAGCCCTGAGCCAATAAGGCGAGAGGGCTTGCAGCCCTGAGTCGATAAGGCGAGAGGGCTTGTGGCCTGGAAGACCAGTCGGATATTAGACGAGTGGGGGGTCTAGTCAGAATTTTGCCGGGAAGGTACACTTGCCTTCCAGCCTTGAGCCGATAAGGTGAGAGGGCTTGTGGACCGGAAGACATTGATCTTCTTTTTGGGACGAGAAGTTTAACCACAGCGCTCACATACGTGGTACCGACCTGCTGGAGGGGGACCGAGATGACTTGGAGAAGATGAGCGCTTTCTCCATCGCCAAGGGCGTTGAATCGCTGACGAACCGCCTTTCTGCCCTTTCACTCATCAACGAAGACAAAATTCGTGGGCTAGTGAGAGAGAACAAATTGCAGGGAAAGAAGATATCCTCTTTGGAGGAAACTTTGAACAAAAGTAAGGCGGATTTTAAATGGGTGGTTAATGAGCGGGATAAGTTGCTGGAAGGGCGTCGCGTCTTCGAGGATGAGAAGCAAGCTTTGGCAGCCGAGAAGGTTGCACTGGAGAGTGAGCTGACCGAGACACGCCTGGCAAGGGACAAGTCGGCCGATGCCGCTAATGCCCTTGAGAAAGATTTGTCCTTGATGAAGCTTGAAGTAGAGAAACTTCAGAACGACCTTCAAGCGGCGAAAATGGATTCTCTAAAGAAGTTTGTTCAAGGGTTTGATGCTGCCACTGCTCAAGTGAAGTTTTTGTACGCCGATGTCGACCTTGGAGGCCTTGGCTATTTCAAAGAGATCGTGGATGGGCAGCTCGTAGATCCCCCCGAGGAAGATTGAATCTGTCTTTACAAACCTCTCTTGCCTTTTGCATTTGTTTAGCCTTCTAATTTCAATTCTCTGTGTAATTGACTGACTTTTGCGTATCAAGAATTTGTCTTTTTTACCAAGTTTAGCTTTCATGCTTCGTCGCTTTGTGTGCTGTTATTGTTTCCCTTGGTGAGACGAGTGTGACTTAATGATAAAGGAGTGTTTTTTCTGAACCTTTGCCTAAAGGAATTCAAAGGAATTCAAAATTTTTCCAAGTTAAAAATGAATATCAAATCATCTAGTCGTCCAAATACCGACTAGGAAAATGTCAAAATTTTTCTAAGTTAAAAATGAATATCAAATCATCTAGTCGTCCAAATACCGACTAGGAAAATGTCAAACTTTTTCAAAGTTAAAAATGAATATCAAATCATCTAGTCGTCCAAATACCGACTAGGAAAATGTCAAACTTTTTCAAAGTTAAAAATGAATATCAAATCATCTAGTCGTCCAAATACCGACTAGGAAAATAATTAATTTTTTCTAAGTAAAAAGTTGAACGTGAAAATAGTCGTCTAAATACCGACTAGGAAAATAATAAATACATGAAAATGATTGCTTCAAAGTTTCAAGCTTCAAAATCAATGGATCAATCGGCCAAATACCGGCTGCAGTCTTCGAGTTATTTATACTCGCCCAGCCGGACTTTTGCCGACAATCACGAGTTTTCCTGCGAGTCAATCAATTTGAAAATAACGATTTTTATTATTTGATGTTACCTCGTTAAAAACCTTTGTAGCATAAAACCCTCGCAGCAGACTCCCATGCTTCCTCCACGAATTAACATCTGAGCACGAAAGTCCATTAGATGTTGACTAGGATCCTGTTTTCCGTCAAACGGTTCCACCTGCTGATACGAAGCTGTTCTTTAATAAACCAGACCTCATATTGATGATCTGAACGGTCAGAATGAAGAACCTCACTTCCTGAACCTATAGGCCAAAAATCAGTCCGATCCAACGGTGAACGACTTCACACCGATTAAAACACAGTACCAGCTCTGTTTTGTGCTGGAACACTTTCACCTACTGATATGAAGCTGTTTTCTCCCAAACCAAGGCTCCGGTTAATAATCCGAACGGTCAAAATGAAGAACCACATTTCTGGAACCTACAGTCCAAAAATCAGCTCGATCCAACGGTGCAAGACCTTACACCGACGAAAACACAGAGCCCACTCTGTTTTTGTGCGGGAAACTTCCTCTCTTTCTCTCTCTCTGGGTCGCGCTCCTCTTTCAAGCCATTGATCAACGCCATCATCTCCTCCATGGTAGGGTGTTGTTGTCGTGGTTGGATGTGCCGCCTCTCGCCATAGTAGAGTGTAGGTTTTTTGTATTTCTTGGGGCGTAGGAAAAGTTTTACCGTAGCCCCACGGTGGGCGCCAAAATGTTCCGGCCACGAGGTGCACTAGGGTTTCTGCCTAGGTCAAGCATCAAAGCCAGAGCATTCAAAAGTGTACTCTGTCATCCTAGCCCTAGGGTTTTGGGTTTTATACTTTTGTGTTATGGGCTTCGTGGGCCCCACGATTATCGGGATCCCCCTTAACCGTTCTTATCTCGAAGCCTTGAGAGTGAGTGGTGGTTAGTCAAGTCGGGATTTTACCGGGAGGGTACACTTGCCTTCCAGCCCTGAGCCGGTAAGGCGAGAGGGCTTGTGGCCTGGAAGACCAGTCAGATATTAGACAAGTGGGGGGTCTAGTCGGAATTTTACCGGGAAGGTACAATTTTAAAAATTTTATTTAAAAAAGAAGAAGATTGGAAGTGTATTTATAAAAAAAAATAAGAGGTTTTGGACCAAAAAGAGAAACACCAACGTGACTTCACAAAAATGGTTTTGGACCAAAAATATCTTCGCAAAGTAGTTGGATTTAGTTAACTTAAAATACGCCATTCCAATGAAATTGATTGGAATAAAAATATCTCAAGGAACAAAGGTTTGAAATGCAAGATGTAATGGGTAGCATTAACTAGTAATAAGTAACTCATGTACTCAAAGTTCCTCTCCTATTACAAATAGTTGATGAAAATTAAATAAATAAATAAAATTAGCTAATGAAAATTCAACCACAACAATAGAGAACTAGTGACCTTTTGGTAACTCAAATTTACCATTCATGAATTGGAAAAACAAACGAATGAAAGAATGCCCAAATATTTCTTTTATAATACAAGAAACTGCTCAATAAATTACATTTTACAAGATGGCAAAATCAATTTAATGTAAAAACAAAAATTGGCAGTACAACAATTTCTGATACATTTACAGATAGGAACTAATCACATGACAGTGAAATGAAAGTGTTACTGTGCCACCGAAGTAGAAGTTACCATGGTAATGGTCGAGAATCCCTCACTCTCTCCGGCATCCAGCCCCGCCGCCCACCGCCGCAAAATCCTCAATAGCGTTGCCGCCTTCCGCCGCCCCCTCACACTCCCCACCGCCATGAGCTCCCAAATGACCCTCTCCACCCCGGGAACCGCGGCCAGCTCCGCCACAATCTCCGACCCCCCCTTCCGACACATGGTGACCAGCGTGGCCGCCGCGCTCTCCCTCGCCCTCTCCGACCCCTCCCTCAAGACCGCCCCCAGCCTCTTAATCCCCGCGTACGCCGCCGCCACCGCCACCAGCCCTCCCCTCTTCACCACCGCCTCGAGAATCGTGACCCCCTCCTCCGGCATCACCGCCATGACCTCCGTCGTCATCTCCACCACACGCCCCTCCACCAACCGCCCCACCGTCTCCCTATCCGACGCGAGGTTCAGTATCGCCGCCAGTGCGTCGCGCTTGGCCCCCTCGGGCCCACTCCGCGCCAAGTCCACCAACCCACTCACGACACGTGTCTTCCTCCCAAGCCTCTTCCTAAACGCCGCCACACCCGATAAACTAAACACCGTCGCAGCCGCATTTGCTTTCGCCTCCCACGTGGCACCCGAAAGCAAAACCTCCGCAACGCCGTTTAACGCGCCGTTAGTCTCCATTATCCTCGTCTTATTCGCTTCCAGAATAGACAGATTCAAAATCGTCGTCACGGCGTTAACCTGCAGGCTCGGATTCTCCGCCCCCACGTCCAAGCTTAGGAACCGAACCAAAAGCGGAATCGCTCCCGCTTCGGCAATACAGGCTCGGCTGTCCGAGTCTGTTTTCGCCAACACCCGAAGCTCGTAAACGACGCCGTTTGTGTCTTCAACAAAAGGTTTGTTGCTGTTGTCCTTGAGCTTATTCACTAAAAACGTCACCGTCATTCGCGTGGCTTCTAACGCCGCCTTGTTCGTTACACCGCCGTTGAGTTTCCCTATGACTGCTTCCGCTTCGATGGGGATTCTCTGCTCGCGGCACCACGTTGCTATGATGTTCCGCAGCACGCGATTGGGGATTAAGTCGGTGTGAGATAACGTTTGACCTGTTTTCGGACACGTGTTGTGTCCAGAATCCATCCAGAGTTTGATTGATGCGCGATCGTACGTCTGTCCGGTGGCCACGACGACGGGGTCGCGCATTAGTTCTAGGCTTATAGGACACCGGTAATCCGCCGGAACCGCTAGCTCCGACGACTGGTTCCGCCGCATAACGGCGGCTCTCGGCGACGGCGTTGACGCGCCGAAGAGAACGCACTTGGCGAAACGAACGAGGCCGATCAACGCGACGAGGTCAGTTTTGGATTGCTCCTCGCTCCGATTGATAATCTCCTCCTCGAGGCTCTCAATCTCCGCTCTGCAGGTGGAGGCGTCGCGAATCTCGAGTTTGTCGAAAATCAAAGAGAGATGCGCTTGATCGGGAACGATCTCGTGCTTGATCCGGTCGAGGACGGAAACGACGTCGTTCCGGAGGTTTATCTGTTCGGCTTGGACGAACGGTATGGATTCAGAGCAGTGTTTCCGCAGGAGGATAACGAGTTCCCGAACGTCGTCGTTTAGGTGGAGTTCTTGGAGAGGGAAAACATCGAGTAGCGTGGAGAGTTCTCCGGTGAGCCTGTGGAAGGTGTCGGCGACGGTTTCGATTTGCACGAGCAGATTGAACTTGCTTCTTCCGTTGGAGCAATCTTCGATTAGCGTTTTGATCTTGTGGAGAACGATGTACATTTCCTCGAGGCAGAGGATGAGAGAGTAGGGGAGCAAAAGGGAGTTGGAATTGGAAAGGCGAATGAGGTCCTCGAAAACGACGCCGAGGAGCTGCGTTTTGCGGATGGTAGAGGAGGAAGTGCGGTTGAGGAGGAAGTTGGCGGTGTTGGTGAGGGAACATATCTCATCCGTCACTTGAAGCAGAGAGTGCAGGAGGTTGCTAAACGACCCTCCCGAGGCTCGTCGTTTTCGGGTTGGGAACGCTTCACAAGAAATCGCCATGTTTTGTTCTCAATACGCAATACCCAATTGACGTTAGTTAAAAGGTGCGTTGGAACGTTGAACAAACAAGTAGAGGATCATTTTTCATCGTACATGACGGCTAATTAATTAATTAATTAAATATCATATGTGTGCATATTTATCCATAAACATAAACAATTCCACTTTTGTTTTCTTATTGCCAAACTCGTTCAATCAATGAGGATGGCTCTGCTACCTCCTCCCTGGTTTTACAATTTTGACTGTCTTTGCTTTGGTTCATTTTATGCTTCCGCTTTTAATTTCATATATTTATGCACACGGAATTCCGGTGTACTTGTAATCTTTTTGTGATATAAAAGTTGACATATTTTTATTATTATCATTGTGCTATATTGGTTGGTCAAATTCAATCGTTGACAAAGCATGTGCCTATGTAATAAAAGTAGCAGCAGCCAATTTGTTCAAGTCCACATCCTCCTCAACTCCTCGTCGCTTCATTCATTTTAACAGTGCTATGTCTGATTCAGAAAACAAAAAGGGTTTGTATGTAATCTTTATTTTTACTTTTACAATTATCATTTTCTTGACTTTTTATGAACTGGTTGGCACTTGGCACTGGCTTCATCAAGTTGGTGAGGCTGCAATTGGGTAAGGGTTGTTGTGGACTTAGTTGTTAATTAATCATAATACATGATGGTCGTCCACGATCCTATTAAGATATTCATTGAACCAATCAATTATTTTCAGGATCACTCTTTGCAGGTTTCGTATATATCCTATTTAGATTTAATAAATTAAAATTTTTCCTTTATTTTAACTTTCTTTTGTTAAATCTTTCCTTTTTAGAACTTTATCATCACAAAGCCAAGTACACAGAGGATTCTTTGGTGAAAGTAAAGTACATAGAGGATACGCGTATATATGATGCAAATCTAAAAAAATATCATATATGATTAGCAATGATTTAGTCCCAGCTCAGAGCCTAGCATCTAACTTTATCTTGATTAAATGCATGAACATAGCTGGAAGAATACGTGTCTTGCTATGCCTAAAAGTTAATTACATTTATAATTTTATATTATATTTTCATTTTTTCTTTTAATTTATAATTTTAAATTTTACTTAAATCAAATAATTGTAGTGTAATCATATCATTTTTTGCAAAAGGTCTGAACGTTGTTGTTCTTCATCTTAGCAGGATAATTGAAAGGTCTCTCCTTACGTTCCAAAACAATTTTCTGCCTTTATTTTTTAGTTTCTTTTCTTTTGAAATAGTTGTTTATTATTAGTAAAGGCACCTAAACCTGCCCATTTTTAGAGCAACAAAAAAATTAATGCTTTGAGATGGATCAATTATAGTAACGAATTACTTTACACAGTACTATTAGTTAAATTACAGGCAGGCACACGTTATTTTTGTTTATAATTATTCCATTTACAGGATTCGTGTGGCATATACACGTTTCATCGTTGGTGTTTGTAGTGTGGAAAAGTCTTGTTTGGGTTTTTACATTTTAGGAAAGTTTCAACAATGGTTCAATAGGGTAAGTTCAAGTCATATATACTTTGATTACGGAACTTATTACGTGAATAATATGACACCCCAGCTAATATAATTTTATTAAATGAAATATATATTACGAAAGCATCAAATAAAGAAAAGAAAATTGACAATTGTATCCTGGTTTAGGGCACAATATATGCATGGTTTGGTTTACTAACTCCATTTGTTTAGCCGCCAAAAGATGGTGACCTGAATAGATTAAATGGATGTTGACCAAGGTGCAATTAACTTTGATAAGCACGCAATTAGCATCACAAAGTAGTAGTAATACTACTATTTCTTAATTGGATAAGATTTTCATTTCGTTTTCAAATTCCTATGGAAAACATTTAACTGCCAAGTTGATTTGTTATCCCTATTTTTAAGGTCTCTTCGATTTCACTTTTACACTTTTTCTTTTGTCCCTTTCATAGAGTACGATCCCAATTTCGATACCGTTTTATTAGGCGTGGGAATATCTATCTGAGGACATGGTGGGTGGCTTTCTGTGGGCGATGGCTTTCACCAGCTAAGGGTTTATTTTAGAAAATTATTAATGGACACTTTAACCCTATTTAGCACTTATGATATGTTTGTATCCCGAATGGATAAAAATTAAATAGAATAAAAATATATATTATTCTATTATTTAGATATTTTATAATGGAATACAATGAATATTTCTTTCCATTGTTAACATAAAAAATGATGGAATAAAATGGGTTATAACTTTTAGTTCTCGTATTATTTTTAAGAGACTAATAATTAAGATAAAATTTATATAAATAAAATGATCATTTTATAATTTAAAATTTTTTTTCCATCAAGTATACTTCAAATAAACAAGTTTTTTTAATTGAGATTAAACAATGGAATAAAATGTATCGTTAATTCATAATCTTCCTTTTTTTTATTATATTATCATTTCTATTTTTACAAACTAAATAATAGAATAATAATATTTCCTCCACTCTATTCCTCTTTAGAGGAGTGACATCTTCAAAGTAATGATAATGTCACCCTAACTAACATTTAATTTATTGAAAATTATAAATTTTGTGAGTCTTATTTCTCATTTAATAAGTTCTTTCTTAATTTGTTGTAGTACTCATCAAAATTTATGATTTTCTACCAAAATAATGAAAGCATTAGGGAAAAAAATGTTAAATAAATGTTGCTAGGATTTCTTTCTCTTAATTCCACTATCTACTACCAATCTAAACATAGCCTTAGAAAAAAAAAATGAAACACAAAGGGCTAAAAACATCAAATTATTTTAAAACTACTATCTTTTTTTGGTGGAATTATAATTTAGAATAATGTATTACAAAAATTACATTACTTTAACCAAAATTAATTTTGTAAAACCAATTTTGCAAATGCACTCATTTGTTCACATCGTTGCTTTGCTGCGTCACAGTGACACTGTGGACGGTGTTTCCTTCCGTTTTGGTGACCCATAATATGAGTAAAACTTAAAGCAACCTTTTTTCTCTCCATGCGTAGACGTAGAAGATGAAGCATTCTTCCATTATGGTTCAAGGAAAACTGCCTGCATGATACATACCAAAACACACTAAACCAAACAACCATTTTTCTTGCTACCTTGAAATTGACATTTGTGTCCCATATGGATTCAAAAAAAAAAAAAAAAGAGGAAACCCAATTTTCCCTATTTAAACATATTATATATATATTAAATCATAATATTTAAAAATTAATTGTGTCACTTTGCTCTTTGTAATACATTATTTTATTTCCCATGCTCTTACATGAGCATCATTTACTTTAGCAAATAAGATGGTGTAAGAAGAAATAAGTAGTTGATGCACGTGGGAGTGTGGTAATTGAGTGAGAAACCACTAAGGGAACTTTAATTAGGGTTAGTTGTAACAAACTTGCATGATTGAGAAGAAACCAAGCCGGCCAAGGTATAGAAAATGTTTATTCTGGTCTCTCCAAGAATCCAAATAAAGGACAGGTTTTTGTAGCTTAGGAATAGACTAATCAAAGTTCAGATGAACATCATACCAAATTATAATTCTACTGATAAACGAAGGAAAACACAATGATTCATAGCCGAACAACTTTGAGACAAATAATGCTTTGTCGCATTACCCAATACAGGTTCATGAAACACTGTTGGTAATTGTAACTTTTATCCAAAAAATGAAAAAGTACAAAAAGCACTTCTGGCATGAAAAAAAAATTAATAGCATTTATCTAATCAAGTAAAAAGTAGTCAACAATAGTTAAAAATCATATTCCACACAGTAATATATATCTAGAGTTCAAATTTAATTAGCCACAATAGTTTTCAAATGACATAAAATAAGCCACATGTTGCTATTAAAATCAAAGAAATACATCAAAGTCCTTCATTATAAAATAAACCAAAGTGTTTAACATAAGTCTTAAAACACAAAATAATAGAAATCTTAATCTAACTCTTCTAGTGTCACATCTTATAAGAACACAACGCAACATCTTACAAAGCTCATGTCTCATCCCTTACATCATGATCAATACTTGTAAAACACTAAAAACAAGACAATAGATAAAGAGAGTGAAAAACGTTTCACACCAATATACATATACACAAATATGTAGGATAATGCATGTAATATATTTCACAAAATATATGAAAGTAATACTTCAGGCAATAATAATCTCACAACTTTAGTATCAACACATTCACATTAATACATTCATACTCCACATTCCCAACCAATTGAATTCCATACCTCTAAAATTATATGCATTTAAGTACTTCATAACTCAGTCTCCAAAACTCTACTCATACAAAGGCATACTCTTACAGCCCAAAGGCAATTACTCATGACTCGAAGGTAAATGTTCATGCTCGTGATACATATCTCATCCTCATAACCCAAAGGTGAATACTCGTGATTGTGACACATCTCATATCTCTTACTCATAATGCATGTATGCTTTATATACAAGACTCTATGCAACACTTTATTTCATGAATTCAACTCATATTCATCTCAATTGCTTAACACATTGTCTTAGAGTGAATCTCATGCTTACACATCGTCATCTTGTAAATTTCATGCTTGCACATCATCATTGTTTCATTCTTATATCAAATATTATCATCATCTCATATCTCATCATTCACCAATGTTTCAAATGTTGAACACAACACTAGTGCAAAAATTGGATTTAAAATCAGAGTTTTAAGATCGGTTACAGGGTAACCGATCTTAAAAGTGATGCGGTGGCAATTTTGTAAATAACATGAACACTTTTAAGATCGGTTAAAATTTAACCGATCTTAAAAGTACTTTTAAGATCGGTTATAAAAGAACTGATCTTAAAAGTGGTACTTTTAAGATCGGTTACAAAAGAACCGATCTTAAAAGCACTTTTAAGATCGGTTCTTTTATAACCGATTTTGTATGTAGTATACAAAATCGGTTCTTAATTAACCAATTTTAAAAGTATTGTCAGAAATCTTTTATATTCCCCTCCATTATCATTTTCTTTAATCTTTTTCATTTTCTAAAGTCTCCAGGTAAATTTCGCATTCATTTTCGTCTGGTAATGTTCTTTTTGTGTCTCTTTTCGTTTTCTCATGTTTTTCTCGTCTCAATTTTCGTTGTAGGTTCATTTTGGGAAAAATTTGTAGCTGGAACGGCTCGTTCTGCAAGGAGAACGGCCCGTACTCCCTGGAGAACGGCCCGTACTCCCTGGAGAACGGCCCGTTCTCCAAGGAGTACGGGGCGTTCTCCAGGGAGAACGGGC